GTCTCCTCTCGTCTCGTCTCGTCTCTCTCGTCTCCTCTCTCTCGTCTCCTCTCGTCCTCTCGTCTCGTCTCTCTCCTCTCGTCTCCTCTCGTCTCCTCTCGTCTCTCTCTCGTCTCGTCTCTCTCTCTCGCTCTCTCTCCTCTCTCTCGTCTCTCTCTCTCTCTCGTCTCGTCTCTCTCTCGTCTCCTCTCCTCTCGTCTCTCTCTCCTCTCGTCTCTCCTCTCCTCTCGTCTCCTCTCGTCTCGTCTCTCGTCTCGTCTCGTCTCGTCTCGTCTCGTCTCGTCTCGTCTCTCTCTCTCTCTCTCTCGTCTCGTCTCCTCTCGTCTCGTCTCTCTCTCCTCTCGTCTCGTCTCTCGTCTCTCTCTCTCGTCTCCTCTCCTCTCTCTCCTCTCGTCTCTCTCTCTCGTCTCCTCTCGTCTCTCTCTCTCTCGTCTCGTCTCTCTCGTCTCGTCTCTCTCGTCTCTCGTCTCGTCTCGTCTCGTCTCTCCTCTCGTCTCTCTCTCTCTCTCGTCCTCTCGTCTCTCTCTCTCTCTCTCGTCTCGTCTCGTCTCTCTCGTCTCGTCTCTCTCTCTCTCTCGTCTCTCTCTCGTCTCGTCTCGTCTCGTCCTCTCGTCTCGTCTCGTCTCGTCTCCTCTCTCTCTCGTCTCTCTCTCGTCTCCTCTCTCTCTCGTCTCTCTCTCTCGTCTCGTCTCGTCTCGTCTCCTCTCCTCTCGTCTCGTCTCTCTCGTCTCCTCTCGTCTCCTCTCGTCTCCTCTCCTCTCGCCTCTCGTCTCCTCTCCTCTCGTCTCCTCTCTCTCTCCTCTCGTCTCTCTCCTCTCGTCTCTTCTCTCTCTCTCTCTCGTCTCTCTCTCTCTCTCGTCTCCTCTCGTCTCTCCTCTCTCTCGTCTCGTCTCCTCTCCTCTCGTCTCTCTCGTCTCGTCTCGTCTCTCTCTCTCCTCTCCTCTTCTCTCTCTCTCTCCTCTCGTCTTCGTCTCCTCTCTCTCGTCTCGTCTCTCTCTCTCTCCTCTCGTCTCTCTCTCTCGTCTCGTCTCTCTCGTCTCCTCTCGTCTCTCTCTCTCTCTCGTCTCGTCTCTCTCGTCTCCTCTCCTCTCGTCTCTCTCTCCTCTCGTCTCTCTCTCTCCTCTCGTCTCGTCTCTCTCGTCTCCTCTCGTCTCGTCTCTCTCTCTCCTCTCCTCTCTCTCTCTCGTCTCCTCTCGTCTCCTCTCGTCTCTCTCTCTCTCCTCTCTCTCTCTCCTCTCTCTCGTCTCCTCTCGTCTCGTCTCCTCTCGTCTCCTCTCGTCTCGTCTCCTCTCGTCTCTCTCTCTCTCCTCTCGTCTCCTCTCGTCTCTCTCTCCTCTCCTCTCGTCTCGTCTCTCTCTCCTCTCGTCTCGTCTCCTCTCCTCTCGTCTCGTCTCCTCTCCTCTCGTCTCCTCTCGTCTCCTCTCGTCTCCTCTCGTCTCGTCTCCTCTCGTCTCCTCTCGTCTCCTCTCGTCTCCTCTCGTCTCCTCTCGTCTCCTCTCCTCTCGTCTCCTCTCCTCTCCTCTCGTCTCCTCTCGTCTCCTCTCCTCTCGTCTCCTCTCGTCTCTCTCTCCTCTCCTCTCGTCTCCTCTCGTCTCGTGTCCTCTCGTGTCCTCCGGTCGTGCGGGTCGTTGTAGATCTGGGGTATCCGAGTCCTGGTCCGGTCCCGGAGCAGCAGAGATCCTTCAGTGAAGACGTCCTGCGAGGAATCATCCGGAACATCCAGAAGAACGACCTCAACAGACCCATAACCCAACTCCTGCACCTGCTCGGCCTCACGCTGGGAGTCCACAGGCAGAGGTGAACCAGAACCAGGACCCGGACCAGAACCAGGACCAGAACCCGGACCAGGACCAGAACCAGGACCAGAACCAGGACCAGGACCAGAACCAGGACCAGAACCAGGACCAGGACCAGAACCAGGACCAGACCCAGGACCGGACCCAGAACCAGGACCAGGACCAGACCCAGGACCAGGACCAGACCCAGAACCAGGACCAGGACCAGGACCAGACCCAACTGGACCCGACCGGACTGGGACTGAACAGGGACTGAACCGAGACTGAGCTGGGACTGAGACCGAGCAAGAACTGAGCCGGGACCGAACAGGGACTGAGCCAGGACCAGGCTCGGACTGGACCAGGACTGAGCCGGGACTGAGACCGGACTGGGACTGAGCCTCGACTGAGCCGGGACTGGACCAGACCGAGACCAAACCAGGACTGAACCGGGACTGGACTAAGACGGAACCGGAATCGAGCCGGGACCGGACTGGGACTGAGCCGGGACTGAAACTGAACAGGACTAAACCAGGACTGAACCAGGACTAAACCAGGACTAAACCAGGACTAAACCAGGACTAAACCAGGACTAAGACGGGCCTGGAGCAGGACTAAGTGTGTTTGTGTTTCAGGAGTGTGTACAGGGATCTGTTGTTCTTGTGTCTTGTGGCTCTGGGCAGAGAAAACATCGACATCGGTGAGTCCAAAAAAAAAAACCCAACAAAACCAAAAAAAAGCGTTTACTTGATCCATGTTTTCTTCTTTTCTTCTTTATCGTCGTCTTTCGTCTCTTTGCTGTTTTCTTGCAGACGCGTTCGATCGGGAGTACAGACTGGCCTTCGCCCGCCTGAGCCCCGCCTCCCTCAAACTCACCCAGCGCTGCGACAGAGCGCCCCCTGCTGGCGTGGTGGAGTGTCGCCGTCGCTTCGGGGAGCCGTACCTCTGACCGCCGCCGCCACCGCCGCGCCCTCGGACTCTCCCGTACCTCTGACCGCCGCCGCCACCGCCGCGCCCTCGGACTCTCCCGTACCTCTGACCGCCGCCGCCAGCGACACGACGACACCCCTCCCTTTGCTCTCTGTGCTAAGTTCCTCCCCCCTTCAGAGCGTCATCACCACAAACTCAGGACTAAACCAGGACTAAACCAGGACTGAACCAAGTCTAAACCAGGACTGAACCAAGTCTAAATCAGGACTAAACCAGGTCCAAACTAGGTCTAAACCAGGCCCAGAACCAGGACTGAACCAGGACTAAACCAGGACTAAACCAGGCCCAGAACCAGGTCTAAACCAGGTCTAAACCAGGACTAAACCAGGACTAAACCAGGGTCAGAACTAGGACTAAACCAGGACTAAACCTCTTTAAGTGTCTGCACCGTGAGACTGGAACGTTTATTTCTTGGTGTGTTTTTTTATTTTATTTTTGGTGGTAAAAGTTTAAATTTCAAGTCCAGGACGGCGGCCGCTTTTCCTCGGGGACTTTAGGTCAGATGCCCTTCCGCTCTCGTCGCACTGGCACAAGAATAAAGGAGGTTTTTGCGGAGCTCGACTTGCCGTGTTTTTGTCGTGTTTTTGTCGTGTTTTTGTCATGTTTTTTCTGGACGATCCAAACCTCCAAAAGTCCAACTAACAGACGAGATTTTGTTTTCTCTGGGACAGAATTGTTTAAACTGGACTGAAGATTCTGAGCCAGGTTCAACTTTTTCAAATGTTTCTACAAATTTGATCAAATGTCTGTAAATAAATCTGTAATAATCCAAAAAAAACATGTGTATTTATTCTGGACTAAACCGGGACTAGACCAGGACTAAACCAGGACTAAACAGAACTAAACCGGGTTGAAACCCGGACTAAACTGGGCCTAAACTGGGACTAAACAGGGCCTAAACAGGACTAAACCGGGACTAAACCGGAACTTAACCGGGACTAAACTAGGACTAAACCAGGGTCAGAACTAGGACTAAACCAGGACTAAACCAGGGTCAGAACCAGGACTAAACCAGGGTCAGAACTAGGACTAAACCAGGACTAAACCAGGGTCAGAACTAGGACTAAACCAGGACTAGACCGGGACTAGACCGGGACTAAACCGGGACTAAACTGGGACTAACGGGACTAAACAGGACTAAACTGGGACTAGACCAGGACTAAACTGGGACTAAACCAGGACTAAACAGAACTAAACCGGGTCGAAACCGGGACTAAACCAGGACTAAACCAGGCCCAGAACAAGGACTGATGTTTTAGTTTTATTGATATTTGTGTCCAAATGGTGGATGGGAACGTTGTCCCAGATTTGAAATGTCCTTCCTAAATAATAAAGTGTAATAATAATAAAGTACAATAATAATAATAATAATAATGTAATGTAAAGTGTTCGAGCTCTGCTGTTGGTTTAATCCTGGAACAGTTTGGCTTTAAAGGTGCATCGCTGTTGGAATCACTGGCGTGAAACGTCCAAAGAATAAACAGGATTTATTGATTCCAAAAATGTGCGCGCTGCTGTGAGCTGAGCCTGAGACTGGGCTCAAAGTCCAGCGCAGGTGAGTCCAAAAACCGAGTCTGAAGGAAACATCAACACAAACGAGAAAAACGGGCAAAAAATACAAGAAACAGAAAGTGGAGCCAACAGTTTGAAGCACGAAGGATAAAGTGTTGATGTGACGAGGCACGAGGGATAAAGTGTTGATGTGGTGAGGTGTGGAGGATAAAGTGTTGATGTGGTGAGATGTGGAGGATAAAGTGTTGATGTGGTGAGATGTGGAGGATAAAGTGTTGATGTGGTGAGGTGTGGAGGATAAAGTGTTGATGTGGTGAGATGTGGAGGATAAAGTGTTGATGTGGCGAGATGTGGAGGATAAAGTGTTTGGTGGAGGATAAAGTGTTGATGTGACGAGGTGCGGAGGATAAAGTGTTGATGTGACGAGATGTGGAGGATAAAGTGTTGATGTGGCGAGATGTGGAGGATAAAGTGTTTGGTGGAGGATAAAGTGTTGATGTGACGAGGCGTGGAGGATAAAGTGTTTGGTGGAGGATAAAGTGTTGATGTAACGAGGCACGAGGGATAAAGTGTTTGGTGGAGGATAATGTGTTGATGTGACGAGATGTGGAGGATAAAGTGTTGATGTGACGAGGTGTGGAGGATAAAGTGTTGATGTGACGAAGCGCAGAGGATAAAGTGTTGATGTGACGAAGCGCGGAGGATAAAGTGTTGATGTGGTGAGGTGTGGAGGATAAAGTGTTGATGTGGTGAGGTGTGGAGGATAAAGTGTTGATGTGACGAGGCGCAGAGGATAAAGTGTTGATGTGGTGAGGTGTGGAGGATAAAGTGTAGATGTGACGAGGCGCGGAGGATAAAGTGTTGATGTGACGAGGTGTGGAGGATAAAGTGTTGATGTAGTGAGATGTCGAGGATAAAGTGTTGATATGACGAGGCGCAGAGGATAAAGTGTTGATGTGACGAAGCGCGGAGGATAAAGTGTTGATGTGACGAGGTGTGGAGGATAAAGTGTTGATGTGGTGAGGTGTGGAGGATAAAGTGTTGATGTGGTGAGATGTGGAGGATAAAGTGTTGATGTGGTGAGATGTGGAGGATAAAGTGTTGATGTGGTGAGATGTGGAGGATAAAGTGTTGATGTGGTGAGATGTGGAGGATAAAGTGTTGATGTGACGAAGCGCAGAGGATAAAGTGTTGATGTGACGAGGCGCAGAGGATAAAGTGTTGATGTGACGAGGCGCAGAGGATAAAGTGTTGATGTGACGAAGCGCGGAGGATAAAGTGTTGATGTGGTGAGATGTGGAGGATAAAGTGTTGATGTGACGAAGCGCAGAGGATAAAGTGTTGATGTGACGAGGCGCAGAGGATAAAGTGTTGATGTGACGAGGCGCAGAGGATAAAGTGTTGATGTGACGAGGCGCAGAGGATAAAGTGTTGATGTGACGAAGCGCGGAGGATAAAGTGTTGATGTGGTGAGATGTGGAGGATAAAGTGTTGATGTGACGAGCGCAGAGGATAAAGTGTTGATGTGACGAGGCGCAGAGGATAAAGTGTTGATGTGACGAGGCGCGGAGGATAAAGTGTTGATGTGACGAGGCGCGGAGGATAAAGTGTTGATGTGACGAGGCGCGGAGGATAAAGTGTTGATGTGGTGAGGTGTGGAGGATAAAGTGTTGATGTGACGAGGTGTGGAGGATAAAGTGTTGATGTGACGAGGCGCGAGGATAAAGTGTTTGATGTGACGAGGATAAAGTGTTGATGTGACGAGGCGCGGAGGATAAAGTGTTGATGTGACGAGGCGTGGAGGATAAAGTGTTGATGTGACGAGGCGCGGAGGATAAAGTGTTGATGTGACGAGGTGTGGAGGATAAAGTGTTGATGTGGTGAGATGTCGAGGATAAAGTGTTGATGTGACGAGGCGCAGAGGATAAAGTGTTGGTGTGGTGAGGTGTGGAGGATAAAGTGTTGATGTGACGAGGTGTGGAGGATAAAGTGTTGATGTAACGAGGCACGAGGGATAAAGTGTTTGGTGGAGGATAATGTGTTGATGTGACGAGATGTGGAGGATAAAGTGTTGATGTGGTGAGGTGTGGAGGATAAAGTGTTGATGTGACGAGGTGTGGAGGATAAAGTGTTGATGTGGTGAGGTGTGGAGGATAAAGTGTTGATGTGACGAGGTGTGGAGGATAAAGTGTTGATGTGGTGAGGTGTGGAGGATAAAGTGTTGATGTGGTGAGGTGTGGAGGATAAAGTGTTGATGTGACGAGATGTGCGAGGATAAAGTGTTGATGTGACGAGGCGCAGAGGATAAAGTGTTGATGTGGTGAGGTGTGGAGGATAAAGTGTTGATGTGGCGAGATGTGGAGGATAAAGTGTTTGGTGGAGGATAAAGTGTTGATGTGACGAGGCGTGGAGGATAAAGTGTTGATGTGACCAGGCGCGAAGGATAAAGTGTTTGGTGGAGGATAAAGTGTTGATGTGACGAGATGTGGAGGATAAAGTGTTTGGTGGAGGATAAAGTGTTGATGTGAAGAGGCGCGGAGGATAAAGTGTTGATGTGACGAGATGTGGAGGATAAAGTGTTGATGTAACGAGGCACGAAGGATAAAGTGTTTGGTGGAGGATAATGTGTTGATGTGACGAGATGTGGAGGATAAAGTGTTGATGTGACGAGGTGTGGAGGATAAAGTGTTGATGTGACGAGGCGCAGAGGATAAAGTGTTGATGTGACGAGGCGCAGAGGATAAAGTGTTGATGTGACGAAGCGCGGAGGATAAAGTGTGGATGTGGTGAGGTGTGGAGGATAAAGTGTTGATGTGGTGAGGTGTGGAGGATAAAGTGTTGATGTGACGAAGCGCAGAGGATAAAGTGTTGATGTGGTGAGGTGTGGAGGATAAAGTGTTGATCTGGTGAGGTGTGGAGGATAAAGTGTTGATGTGGTGAGGTGTGGAGGATAAAGTGTTGATGTGTGAGCGGAGGAATAAAGTGTTGATGTGACGAGAGGTGTGGAGGATAAAGTGTTGATGTGTGTGAGGATGTGGAGGATAAAGTGTGATGTGGAGGATAAATGTGTGACGAGATGTGGAGGATAAAGTGTTGATGTGACGAGGCGCGGAGGATAAAGTGTTGATGTGGTGAGGTGTGGAGGATAAAGTGTTGATGTGGTGAGGTGTGGAGGATAAAGTGTTGATGTGGTGAGGTGTGGAGGATAAAGTGTTGATGTGACGAGGCGCAGAGGATAAAGTGTTGATGTGACGAAGCGCAGAGGATAAAGTGTTGATGTGGTGAGGTGTGGAGGATAAAGTGTTGATGTGACGAGGCGCGGAGGATAAAGTGTTGATGTGACGAGGTGTGGAGGATAAAGTGTTGATGTGGTGAGATGTCGAGGATAAAGTGTTGATGTGACGAGGCGTGGAGGATAAAGTGTTGATGTGACGAGGCGCGGAGGATAAAGTGTTGATGTGGTGATAAAGGTGTGGAGGATAAAGTGTTTGATGTGGTGAGGTGTGGAGGATAAAGTGTTGATGTGACAAGGGGCGGAGGATAAAGTGTTGATGTGGTGAGATGTGGAGGATAAAGTGTTGATGTGACGAGATGTGGAGGATAAAGTGTTGATGTGACGAGGTGTGGAGGATAAAGTGTTGATGTGACGAAGCGCAGAGGATAAAGTGTTGATGTGACGAGGCGCAGAGGATAAAGTGTTGATGTGACGAGGCGCAGAGGATAAAGTGTTGATGTGACGAAGCGCGGAGGATAAAGTGTGAAAGTGAGGATAAAGTGTTGATGTGGTGAGGTGTGGAGGATAAAGTGTTGATGTGAGAGATGTGGAGGATAAAGTGTTGATGTGACGAGGCGGGAGGATAAAGTGTTTGATGTGACGAGCGCGGAGGATAAAGTGTTGATGTGACGAGGTGTGGAGAGGAATAAAGTGTTGATGTGACGAGTGTGGAGGATAAAGTGTTGGATGTGACGAGGTGTGGAGGATAAAGTGTTGATGTGGTGAGGTGTGGAGGATAAAGTGTTGGTGTGACGAGTGTGAGGAAAAGTGTTGATGTGACGAGTGTGGAGGATGTGGGTGAGGTGTGGAGGATAAAGTGTTGATGTGGTGAGGTGTGGAGGATAAAGTGTTGATGTGGTGAGGTGTGGAGGATAAAGTTGTGTGGTGTGACGAGGTGTGGAGGATAAAGTGTTGATGTGACGAGGTGTGGAGGATAAAGTGTTGGTGTGACGAGGTGTGGAGGATAAAGTGTTGATGTGGTGAGGTGTGGAGGATAAAGTGTAGTGAGGTGTAAAGTGTTGTGGTGAGGTGTGGAGGATAAAGTGTTGGTGTGACGAGGTGTGGAGGATAAAGTGTTGGTGTGACGAGGTGTGGAGGATAAAGTGTTGATGTGACGAGGTGTGGAGAATAAAGTGTTGATGTGGTGAGGTGTGGAGGATAAAGTGTTGATGTGGTGAGGTGTGGAGGATAAAGTGTTGGTGTGGTGAGGTGTGGAGGATAAAGTGTTGGTGTGACGAGATGTGGAGGATAAAGTGTTGGTGTGACGAGGTGTGGAGGATAAAGTGTTGATGTGGTGAGGTGTGGAGGATAAAGTGTTGATCTGGTGAGGTGTGGAGGATAAAGTGTTGATCTGGTGAGGTGTGGAGGATAAAGTGTTGGTGTGGTGAGGTGTGGAGGATA